TTCAATTTTTTATTAATTCCATTGCAAATATTTGACGAATTTTCCTTCATAAAAGTTTTTTAGTTTAATAAAACTAAATAATTTTTAATTTTTTTTAAAATAAAAAATTAATAACATTTATGAAAAGTTAGGTCCTATATTGATAATTTTCAATCATTCGGGTTCTAGATTGACAGTTTTCCATCATTCGAGTCCTATATCGATACATTTCATCTTTTAGATCCTGAATTGATAATTGGTGTATCTTTCAGGTCCTGGATTGATAATCTACCGATATAGAAATTATCCCAAACAAGAGTAAACTAGGGTAAAAATTCAAAAATAGGACTTCTTATATTTTTATATCTAAATAGGACCAATTTATTCCTATTATGAAACACAGGGATATTAGCATTCCATTTTTGCCCCTGCACCTTCCTTTCTTTCTCCCTTCTCGTGGCCTCAGATCTATCAATGCATTCACGCTCAGAGCCTCAAACCCATCAAAGCCTTCATCACAACTCCACTATAGATCTGTCGAATTCGCCGCCTACACCACACGCCACCTCCACCGCACGCCGTCTTTGCAGCCTCTGTCTTCACCGTTTCCGTCTTTGTCTCCTCCGCCTTACACCATATACATATGATTTCTCCTCCTCATCCTCATCACGAGTTCTGACATTGACCTTTTCAGATTTTCCACCTATTCTTATGTTTTCATGAGTTTTAACATTCATTTGGCTGATTTTTGAAGCTCAGTTTCGTATTTCCGATTCAAATTTGTTATTGTTTATAAAATCTTGATTTTCTGAAATTTTGGATGATGGCATAAGATTTTGCGAACTTTATGGCAGAAATGTGCACACTGACAATCGATTATGACAAAACAAATTTTGTGTAAATCCATTTTTTAACTTTTTTGTCATTAGTTTCGTATTTGTGATTTTCAATTTTATTAAAGTGTTTATTCTTTTGAAAACATTACTTCCGAATATTTGGTTATTGAGCTCATATGGTTGCCAAATTTATGGCAGATTTGAGAGTTCATAATGAAAGATTTAAATTAATCTTGAAGGCGGCCAATTGTGACACTGCTCCCAATTTAAACTTGGATTTATTAATACATTAATAGTAAAATCTCAATGAAAGTACAAATACTAATTTCGATAAGGATGACTAGTTAAAGTCATGAATATAGATTCACTTTGAAAACTAGTTACGATTATATTGATCATACTAGAAATGATTAATTGATTAAATTAATACCGATTAATTAAATTGTGAGTCGGACCCCAAACATGAGGAGGGACTAACTAATATATATTCTTGGACCAAGAAAATTAAATAAAAAGCCCAAGGATAAGAAAGTAAGTACTATGTGATTATTCGGGCCGAATAAAAGGTAAATAAATAATATGAGAGATCATTCGAGCCCACTTACTAAAAAGGTAAAGGGGTTTGGGCCCAGGATATTGGAGAGGGCCATCCAATACATTTTAGGACCGACCTATTATGGTCTACTAGCCTGAAATAATATAAATAAATGAATAAAAGTCATTTAGGTCCAACCGGGATATATCAAGTAACCAAAGTGGCGTTCTAGCCCCTAGAAGATATAGCCCAAATATAATTGATGAGTGACCAAAGTATTATTTCGGGTGAGATTTAATAGAAGGAAGCAGCCCATGTACAAACACAACCCATATTAGCCCATATGCTAAAAAATAGAAAGGATAAAGACTCCTTTCCTTCCACTCATTTGAGAGTATCGCAAGAGGCAAAGAAGGATAGAGAGGATCTCAACCTCATGGTCTCACACGTCCAAGGAGAAAAGAGGAGCAAGAAGGGATGATTCTGGGAAGAGGAAAGCTCGATTCCAGGTAACCGAATGTTATCCCCGTTCAAACTAGTTATATACTATATTTAGTTAATATGATTTTTAAGAATTCATATATTGGATTTATGAGGATGTTCTACACGTTTAAAAGTGTAGAAATATGATAAAAAGTGTTGGTAATTAACATAGAAGAGTTGTTGAATCGATGGGAATTGAAATCGCCGGAAACCGCCACTTCTAGGTGTTGTTTTCGTGCAGCAGGGCCCGAAAGCCGGGCAGCTTTTGCAAAAGCCGGGCGGCTTTTGCCCTCTGCCAGCCAAGCTTGTTTCGGATCATTCCCGATTGAAGGTTTAACGATGGAGCTTCAATAGGCAACCTTGCTGGACATATTTAAGGTGAGGATGACTGACTATATTGTCTATAACTCATGAGTTGAGCATGAGATTACCTAAGTAATCAAAATATAATTTTTGATGGAATTAAATTATATAGTTCAATGTGAATAAATATGTTGCTATGTGGTCATATAAATTGATATATGATATTACAAAGGTGAATAAGCAAAGGTATTATGCATGAGAAGAGAAATCCAGGAAATATATTAATTATTGAACTGATATTGAGGATTAGAATGATATAGACAAATGTTGATAAATTGTGATTCCATAAGATCTTAAAAAGGATTTATGGATACCTATGTGGATAGGCAAAGTGATTAAATGTGAAGTAAGGAATCCTTGAGTTATTGACATGATCAAAGTGATATGAATCCTTAGGGATTAATTGTTTGTGCTATCTATGGTATGGAATAAGATATGCATGAACTTAGAATGAGTTATGGACTACGGTCACACTCAAAGGAAATGATGGAGTCTACCTAGACTATATGAAGGCAGCCCGGGGAGTCTTGATGAAGACTAGCCCGAGGTTGATAGATTATGATTACTCGAATACAATAAGTATTACGCGGGGTGTGTAAGCCCTAACGAATAAAGGATATTACGCGGGGTGTGTAAGCCCTACATGAATAAAGTATTATGCGGGGTGTGTAAGCCCTACATGAATAAAGTATTATACGGGGCGTGTAAGCCCTACATGAATAAAGTATTATACGGGGTGTGTAAGCCATACATGAATAAAGTATTATGCAGGGTGTGCAAGCCCTAAACGAGTAAAGTTATTATACGGGGTGTGTCAGCCCTACACGAGTAAAACATTATACGGGGTGTGTAAGCCCTAAATGAATCAAAGATATTATAGTGGTGTGTAAGCCCAAAATGAATGAATATAATGCAACGGTAGGGTGCGTAAGTCCAACGTGGGTGAGTACAAAGGATAATATGTGTAACCCTCTCAATGGAGTTGGGTTTCATGGATTTCCATTTTATTTTTTAATTATAAATTGAAATTAAATATGATTAGGGATGTGTTTGTACAATTAGGTAGTTTTAGGTCCTAGGAAACGTAGGTTGAATTTCTGATCCTATTTGTGCACATGAATTATCTTTTAGACTTTTAGTCCTAATTAAATCAATATTTGAAGATGCAAGTATATATACTCTTACTCCGTACTTGAGAAGGAAATTTTATTGTAGTACTCCCTCCGTCCCTGAATTATCTTCAAACTTTTCTTTTTCGTTCGTCCCAAAATTATCTCCTTTTTCCCTTTTTGGCGAAGAATTTGTGATTCAGGACCATTCTTACGCATTCTTACACATTTATTTCTCCTCTGGCCCTCTGCACAACTCTCCACCACACAAATCTGACTATCTTAATTTGTGTGAAATGTCAAAGGGGGAGATAATATAGGGGCGTTGGGAGTACTAAATTATTACTCCGTATGTTTTTTCTCTCATTTAAGCAGTTTACTATAAAAGTACTTCCATTTGCTATGTAAACAATGCTTTAAACAAAAGAATAAAAGAGAGGCTATTTAGTGCATGTTTGACAGATATAAGTACATACCTTATAGCTTTTGTATTATTTAAAAATCTTTAAAATCTTTTAAATGTATGTTTGACACGTCAATTTTTAAGAGTTTTTTAAAAAATAAAATATCTTTTTTGAGATGCTACATTGAGTAGCATCTGAGAATAGTCTGTAACTTTTGATATTAATTGTCTAATTGATCTGAATATCTTGTATGTCAACATAACTGAATCAAACAGTCGTTTTTTTATCAAACAACCACCATCCTTTTTGAGATCTTTTCAGCCATTAATAGCTAACAATTACTAAAAGCTTATAAAAGTATCCTTTTAGCTAGTTGTATCACACATGCCCTTAACCGTTAGAACATACTTCCTTCATCCCTTTCTATTTAGTCAAGTTTGATTTTTCAAATCAATGAAGTTAAACTTTGAACGATTATACACACACAGTGGTATTTATAATATAAAAATGACATGAAAATACTCTTGGTTAAAAGTAGTACTATGTAGTATGTATCATAAAAGTTTGATTTTTCAAATCAATGAAGTTAAACTTTGAACGATTACACAAACAGTGGTATTTATAATACGGAGTATAAAAATGACATGAAAATACTCTTGATTAAAAGTAGTACTATGTATCATAAAAGTATAAACTTATTAATTTTCACATAAATATATTAGTTAAAATAATTAATCAAAATTTATCATCATTGCTCCAAATACGTGGTTAAAAAATGGGGGTAGTACATAAATAGAAAGGAACTGATAAATAAAAAGGAGGTAGTACAGTCTTCGTAAAAGTGGGGGGCAAGGGGTAAACACTTTGTGTACGCAGAGTAGAGTGTTACGTTGGTTAGAAAGGCAAGTAAGAGTGACTGATAGGCACAAATACAAATGCTATTTAAAAGCTTACACTAAAATTTCCTTTTTTATTATTGCCTTCCTTGAAGAAATGAAACGGGAAAACACAATTTGTTTTTTTTTAAAAAAGAGATGAAGTGAGAACAAGGAAATGAGGAATCAATCAAAGCCTCTAAAACAGTAAAACCCTTTTTTTGGGGGAAATAAAACAGTAAAACCTTATTAATAAACCACTTTTATTTATTTAATTATATATCACTTCTCTCATCTTTTTCCTCACCGGTCCCTTTTCTCAAACCCCTACCCCACCCCCACCCACAAACCCCATACACTTCTCTCTCTCTTTTCAAGTGTCATTTTCTCACATATACTACTACTTCACACAAAAGAAACAACACCACCATTCACTTCATATACTGCTAACAGCTAGCCCATTTCTCCCCTCTTTCACCCATCTATCACATATCTCCATATCTCTACAAGTACTACCCACATACTGTCTTCAATATTCATCATCAACTTAATCAAAGACATTAAAATACCCAAACTCCATCCCATCTCTCTCTATCAGTCTATCACACACAACTAGCAGAAGAAAATCAAGAACCCCATTCTTCAATGTTCTACTACTTAGCAGCTAGCTGGTTATTCATGTTGTGTTTATAAGCTTCCCAATTCCAAACCACTAATAGTACTAGCTTAGCTCTCACTCAAACCAGAATAGGTAAAAAAGAAAACCTAGCTAAGAAAGGAGTATCCAACAGAAAGATAAGCAAGTGAGGAATATATGGAGAGAGAGAGATCAGAGAAGAGAAAGAGATGTATGCATATTGTGGCTGGTCTGGCTAGCTAGCTGAGCTGAGTTTGAATATAAAGGTCACGGCGGAGGCCGGCCGGAGGAGGATGGAGCTATTCCCTGCACAGCCGGACTTATCTTTGCAGATCAGCCCACCGGCCGCCAAACAACAAAGAACAAGGATTGACCAAGAAGAAGAGAATCATCTTCGTCATCATCATGGGATGAATTTGGGGTTATGGGAAAGAACCCTTGACAGAAAAGACTCAATCTTTCCATCTTCTTTGTTTAACAACAGCAGCTGTAAACCCTTCACCAATTTCGACCTAATTTCTGCAAATCTTGCTTCTTCTTCACCTTCCACTTCTCCCCTTTCCGGTGAACAGAACAGAAACCCCTCCGGCTTCCAAAACAGTCTCCTTTACTCTTCTCCTCACCATCATCATCAGCTGCAGCAAACTGGGCCGGACTTTGGGCTCTTGAGGCCCATTAGAGGAGTGCCAGTCTACTATCATCAACCCCCTTCTTCCAATCCTTTCCCTTTCCCTACTTTTGACAGCAGTGCTGTTAGTTCCACCACCTCTTCTATCATCCACCGCCACCAGTCGCCGCCAGCGGGGCTAATGCGGTCTAGGATTTTCCCGTCTAGGTTCCCGGTGAAGCGGAGCATGAGAGCGCCGAGGATGCGGTGGACGAGCACCCTCCATGCTCGGTTCGTTCACTCAGTTGAGCTATTGGGTGGCCATGAAAGTATGCTTCATTCATTCTTAGCTTCTCCTCTCCCTCTCATTTTATTTGGAATTTTGGAGTATATTGTCTTTATCTTTTTCCTCATGTTTTCGCATGCATTTTGTTTATAGTTAATATTTAGCATTTATTTATCATGTTTTACTTTATTTTTGTTATAGGAGCCACACCCAAGTCAGTTCTTGAACTAATGGATGTCAAAGATCTCACCTTGGCTCATGTGAAATCCCATTTACAGGTAAATTTATGGTTTCTTGATTCTTGAATTTATTTTCTTTTTTTTTGCGTGTGGAAATCAAGAACACCAAACAGGACTTAGATAAATCAGTGGTAGAAACTGGGGTTTGGAGTCATTGCCAATTAAGCAGACTAGTACTGCATTGGTTGAAGGGATGTGAATGAATTTGCATAGACATTTCAAATTCCAATGTTACTTTTCTTTTCTTCAAAAAAAAGAGACCTTTTTTATTGTAAACTTCTTTCCAGTAAAAGAAAGAGCTGAGGGGTGTGAGAAATCCTTGTAAGCACATCTTTTGCTACTAGATCTGATGGTTTCTGCAGTATACTATTTTTATCAGCTTTTAGCTTTGGGGAATGAACCATCCATCCATGTTGAGAGAAAAAATAGAAAAACCCATTTTCTAGATGGAGAGAGAAAGGAGTATAATGATTCATCAATAATAATATACCATCAGATCAAGCATATAAGACAGACCAAGACACTGAAAATAGTCATAAAACTTGCAATGCCCAGACAAGGTTTATGAGAGACGGTTCTACTTTTTCTCTTTTCTTTTCTTGTTATGTTTTTTTAACGTAATGCATTACAGACTGAGAGAGAGAGGGAAAGTACACAACGCTATGATGCCTCAATGATCTATATCCTCTATCTATATCTCCGCCCTTGGGATTTTACAAATTCACTGTCTCCAAAACATTGGTTAAAAACATTGGGACTCACACATATGTACATTCATTTACACTAATTCATTTACATATATTGATGATATACATGCATCTATCTTATATACTTCTTCCGTCCTCAATTAAAGTCTCAATTTAACTTTCAAGTCAATTTTTTAAAGCTTTGACAGTTAATTGTTCAAAATTAACAATATTTTATCACACAAAATTAATTTATATACTTCATTTTAATATGTATTATTCAAATGATAATATATTATAAATTGTGTTGTTATATATTTATAGATAATACAGTCAAACGACCACCTAGAAGACCGTAAATATATTCCCCCATGCCTCATAATATGAGTATAAAAATGTAATTTTTAGAATATCACATTTTTTGGTCTTATTTATGGAAATTTTTGAAATAAAAAACTGTAACTTTGTATTGATATTTTTACTATAAAAATAGTACGGAGTACTAGTTAAAATAATGATGTTATAAACTTATACTCCGCAAACGATAAGTTTTTGTTTTTACCATTTATATATTTTGTGCGTGATAATTTTCAATTAATCTTCTCCATATACATAATACAGATCTATATGGTAAGTGGTAACATAAAAATTGGGCAAATCTAGCTACTAGGACTGGTGAAATTTTATCTGAAGCAGTTAATTGACTTAATATGCTGAATTATGAGGATTTTGTTTTTAGAACATTTTTATTAAAAAAGTAAGGAAAAATGACATGCAAACATAATCAAAATAGTGATTAAACATAATTATAGAAAGCCATTTATTTGACCAAAAAAGTAACTAGCTATAAATTTAACTATTTGATTATTATATAATTAAATTGAAAAGTTATACTCCGTACTTCGTATATGTAGTAGTAAAATGTTGATTTGCAAGTTAATGAAGAAAAAAAAGAGGCTCTCAAATAGATTCTTAACTCATAGGAGTACTTCGTATATGGTACACGGGTATATAAGCATATACTCCGTATAACCATATGCAAAAGACCTTTATTATCTGACTCTTTCTCCGCGAATGGTACGTATCAGACTACTGCCTGGTTAGTGCCTTAGTGGTTACACAGTTCTACAACCCTTCTTTCACCTCAAATAATAATATTCATTCTCCTATTATTGATCATTTTCTTTGTCCCATATACATATCAGTTACTACCTCCATAACATAAATATGCTCACATTTCAAAAAATAGTGGAATAATGTGGAATAATGTGATGGAATGGAGGATAAATCCAAAAAAATGTTGTTGTAATTGTGTATAATTTTTAAAATTATTAAGAGTTCGATCAGAAGATTTAGAAATGAGAAATATGAATATTACCGCCAGAAAAGAAAGTAAGAAGATTTAGTTTTTAATTGCTTTAATTTACATGCCTTTAGTTTCTCTAAATTATTCTCTTGTAATAATACAATTGTGAACTATTCCGTCAGATGTACCGAACGGTAAAGACTACAGATAGGCCCGCAACTGCAGCTACTTCAGGTACGTACATTTCTCAATTCTCACCCTCTATATGGTAAACCTTTTGTTCAAAATATAAATAAAACATGAATATAGTTTAAAAATAGTATTAAATAAGTTTTATTATCAAAATATGGCTTTTTTAGAGTCTGTTTGGTCATCTTTATATTAAACTTATAGGTTCTTTTGATCAAACTTTTTATTAAACACGTAACTTTTGATTTTGCTATTGTGTAATAATCAAAATAATTAAGGTTAAAATCAATTTTATAGCTAAATGGCCTGAAATCACCTTAGAAGATCATTTTAGCTATTTTTTATATAACTTTTTTTATTCATTTTATTAACAAAATATACTTTTCATATATTTATTTTTTATATGAAATCATTGTAGAGAATCATTGTAGTATAATTCACCCATAGTTCAGCAGATTCAGTCGTTTCAATCTTAATTTATTTAATTTCAACAAATTCAGCTGATTGAGCTAAATTAAATGCTATTAAACAAGCTCTTAATTCTATTACAAGAAAGTCAAATTTTCCAAAATAAATCCTATTTTTAAAGGGAACGTCTACATCTCACTTATTTATGAATAGAGAATTGTCTATATTGTTGTGACTTATTCATGAGCTCGCTTAATAATATCAAAATTGGTTGGATTATTGATTTTGGTGAAATTTATAAAGTTCTAATTAAAATTATTTGGATTGGCTGATTCTGTTTATTTATGAAAAAATTATATTTAAAATATATTTTATTAATAAAATAAAAAATATATGAAAAAATTATAAGAAAAAATTGCATGAAAAGTTCTCAGATGTAGCTTTAGCCATTACAACTAGAAAAATAACTTCAACCATTTTTATTATTATTACTTAATGTAGCGCGCGAAGTAAAAAATTACTTGTACATGTTTGATAAATGTAATAAGGATGTTTTCTTTTGGACTGTTTTCAGTCCCAGACCAGACCAGACCAGACTTAAACAAACCAGACCAGACCAGACTTAAACAGACCAGATCAGACCAGACCAGACTTAAACAGACCAGACCAGACCAGACTTCCGTAGTTATAAAATACACAGAGACCAGACGTTTACCAGACCAGACCAGACCAGTTCAGACCAGACCAGACCAGACATAAACAGACCAGACCAGACCAGAATTAAACAGACCAGACCAAACCAGACCACCAAATTTCAGTCCAAAAGAAAATATCCTAGTCCAAAAATACGGTGCTCTATACTAAACGAAAATCCAATTAAGATACTACTATACGTACTTTTTTCCATCTCTAGAATATATGAGTTGCAGTAATTGTTCTGTGCATTTGATCAGGCCAATCGGAGGGTTTTGACCATGGGTCGTCCGGTGATACATCCGATGACAACTTGCTGCTTGACACTCAAACATCAATAAAGTCTGATTTGTCAGTTCAACTGCGACGACAAAATGTGCATAATAATAATATTAATTACAATCTTAACCATGACAAAGATGATTATCATCGTCCACTTTGGATCAATTCAAGGTAATCAATTCATCCCAATTTATTAGTTCCAGTTCCAGTTGTTTTTGAATTGCAGAAGGGTGAATCGGCTACACTCTAAAAAATAGAAGTTCAGCTTATTAATTACACTAAGAAAACATATGAATATATATAAATTACCTAGTACTACGTATAAATTATCACTTTCGCTGTCTTCGACCACTTAAGTCAAGTATTACTACATCTGGGTCTCACATTAGAAGAAAGGAAAATGATTCAATTATCTAGAAAATAGAGAAAAAGTAACATCAATTTAGAACTACACAAACATTATCAAATTTATTAATTAAAACAAATCAAAAATAAAAGATAAGACAATTTTAACAAAGTGAAGACTTCCGAGTTTCATACTAGCTCCGTATCTCTTTCTCTCTATATACTATATATAGTACGATAGTACGTAGTATCAAGTTTAATGTATGAGAGAATAGTGGTTGTCAGCAAAAAAAGAAGCAAATAAAGAACAACTAATAAAGTAAATGATAAAATGCGATAGGGATTAGATTTTTAATGTTTAAAATTATCGTATAAAATGCGGCCAACGGTGAAAAGATATGATTGATCCTATATAAAACATCTTATCCTAAAAATACCACCATAATTTATTCTCAAAGTGGCATTTCTAGGTAGTTCTAATAAAAATAAACTAAAAGTCGATACCAATTGACATTTACATTATGCAATTACAATTCTTCCAAAATGGTAGTTACATACGGAGTAGTAAATTTTAGGTTTAGCGATGGGTAACCTTTTTCTGACAATGTTGAAACTAAATTTGAAAAATAAAATGTATTTATATAGAAATTGTATTAACATTCAATCGGATTTCAATGATACAAATTCGATGCATGAAATTACAGATAAAAGGTAAATACATTAACCAGTGAAAAGTATAGTGGTTTGTGCGTTGATTAATGGTGCATTCATCACCATAACTTTAGAAATTAGCATTGTGATTTCAAATCACTCTCTGGTCCGGTTCCATCATATTCGATTTATTCTTACTTTTTTTCACATTCTCACAAATTTACACTAATCACACAATTCGGTTTGCTTAATAGCTGCATCACTCTCTTACATCCTAATCTTGGAGGGACGGAAATTGTAGCATGCATGTTTTTCCTTCATCACATGTAATATATTGTACTCTCGAGTCTCGAAAATGATGCAAAAAGGGAAAATATCTTCTACTTATTTTTTGTCATATACATGCAAGTTAGGCTACCAATTAAAACCTACGTAGTACGAAGTACTCCGTATATATTAAAAAACACTGAAGTTCTTTATAGAACTATACCAAAAGTTCTACAGAATAGGTATAGCGAGATATATAGCTATTTAACAGCAAAGGATATTAAAGAAAACAAGGCAAGTTATAAATTCAAAAAACTTGTAAAGAGCTTTAATGCAAGTATTTGATGGTGGGCCCTATAAGCAGTACTGGCGGATATCTCATTTAAACTTTGGGTGGGTGTTCATTTGTTCTAAAATTAAAATTTGAATTCAAAGACAATGACTAATTTAAACTAAAATTATACATGTATACTAACACTTTTTTCAAAAATCTAGGTGTTCATGTGAACACTTTTGCACTAAACTAGCTCCGCTACTGCCTATGTGGCTATAACAAAACTTAATCTCAAAGTTAAACAAAATATGCTGATTGCCGGATTTGTACAAACCTTGTTGCAAAGCAAAAATTCTCTAATTCTTCCTGTTTCAAACTTCCTTTATATTGAAGAGTACTGAAGACAGTAGTGTTTGTTCTTAGCATATATGGTTATTGGGATATCACATGGATGGGTCGGTTCAGTATCTCAAACTTTATATCTGTCAAAAAAAGGCAAGAAAGAATATGTATGACAGTATGAGGGTGATTTGGGTGAAGATATATAGAACAAAAAAAAGTGCATAAATAAAACAGTAAAAAAGATGGCTTTCACTTCTCAGCCTGCTTTTCTTTTCCTTTCCTTTTCCTACTTTATCTTGTGTGCATGCATGGCTTCCACTGATAGAAAATATTCCCTTGTTATAGCAGGGAAAGTTGGCTGCATTCCATTCCAAGTGACCATAGAGGGAACATGACTTCAATTGAGGTATAGTCCACATTCTCATAAATTAGATGGATGAATTTGTATAGTTACCATTTTGCCTTTTTCATCGGCACATATATATTGTTCCATATTGGTTGTCATGTTTTAATTTGACACGATTATTAGTAAGTGGTTGAACAATAAAATTTGTGGTTGAAGTTTGAGTAGAGTAAAATGAAATGATAATGATCACTTATTTATTGCCAAAAAAGAAAACATGACGAGCCCGTTTGGTAGCACGAAAATTGGCTGATTTGGTTATTTCTGCTGAAATTTATGAAGTTCTGGCTGAAGTGGCTGCATTGGCTGATTCTGCTGATTTAAGAAAAAATTATTTAAAAAATATATGTTATTAATAAAGTAAAGATAAAATTATATGTAAAAAATAGTTAAAATGGCCATCTACAGTAACTTCAGCCAATACAGCCAGAAAAGTAACTCCAACCTTACTTTTTCTGCTTATTACAAAATTCAGCGCGCGAAAGCAAAAATTACGTGTTTGATGAAAAAGTTGGCTGATAAGCCTGATAAACCGAAAAACAGTGGTTCCAAACAGCTTCGACATTTATTATGAGACAACTCAAAAAGAAAAGTAGGACAACCAAAACGGGATGAGGGGAGTGATAGATAAAAGTGAGCTTTCTAGCTATACACGTTGACGATATTAGTTAATTTTATTTACTACTCCGTATAATTTTAGAGTGACTATTATGTTACATTTTTTATCACAATAACTTCAGTCACATTTTTTTATCTTTTTGTCTATAAACTTTATTTATGTGATATTTTTGCAAACAAACAAAAACTTCTATATTTGCCTATGAAAATTCGAGTGTTTATGGTGCAAATAAAAGAATAATAAAACACAGAGTACAAATTAAAGTCTAATTTCAAATGAATTAAACATAAAGTGAAACCCCCATTTTCCCAGAAATATATTCTTATGCAAAGGCAGTTGAAGACTTAATGAGCTTCTTATTCACTAAGCTTATGAATGGCCCTGGTCAAAGTTCTGTGTGAAGGAATACAGAATTCAGTCATACAAATAAAGTACTACACTCTCATTCTTTTAACTACTTTAGTCAAAGGCTGCTTTAGTACTCTCACTATATATATACTCTTTGATCTCTACATTATCCTTATTACTGGATTTGGTGAGATTCATTAATTACTCGTGGGCGAAGCTCAACTGGTAGCGAGGAAATGCCACAAGAGTTAGGTCCCGGGTTCGACTCCCGGCAACTGCGATGAGAGGTTACTCAATAGAGGGCCTCTGCAAGTACCGGGGACGGAGCCCCACTCTCTATCTGTCAGATTGTGATTAGAGACCAATTTACATCCTCTCATCGTGCCGTCCGATCGGTGTTGGGGGGCCCTCAGGGATGGGGTGTCATCCTTTTTTTTTAGAAAAATATTGTGAATTAAATATTACTTCATTCCCACTAAATGAAAATGAGTTACTTTCTACTTGTCCATTTAGGGAGTGTTTGCAACTGCTTCTGCTTAAAGAAAAGCACTTTTGGAATGATTGGGAAAAAGTGATAAGTAGTAAAAGTTGATAGTGTTTGAGAAAAAAATGATTTTGAAAAGTAAAAGTTGGTAGTGTTTGGTAAAATAAATGTTTTTTGTGTAATAGAAAAAGGAAAAACACTTTTCACATGCAAGCCGAGAAAAAGTAAAAATTGGTAGTGTTTGGTAAATAAGTGCTTTTTTAAGCCAAAAGCTGAGAAGTGTTTTTTTTAAGCTATTGCAAACACTCCCTTAGTTTTTTAGTGAATATAAAAAATGCTAAATGTATGAGAGTAGAGAAAAAATAGAAAAGAGAAAATGTAAAACTAGAACAAGTAGAAAAAGAAGGGGAGATAATATGAAAAATTAATTAAAATTTACCAAAAAGGGATATGAAATTAATAGTAATATTAGTTGGCAAAAAACTAATACGGTCACAAGTAATTAATAAAATATGGAGGTAGCTAGTAAGTACCATAAACTTTTGATCATATAATCATATGCCCTGCAAATCCTGCATCCATTAACAATAAACTTTTAACTTTCTTGAATTCTATATATGGACTGTAATCTATAGAAGCAGCTGAGAGCACATGCATGTGTAAACATTTGTGGGTACCTTGTGGCTGTGTACTGTTTCATTCCTCAAGTCAAACAGTCCTTAATTGAGATTCTCTGATCTTTGGTATACTTAAACACCCCACTTGTTTTCCATCTTATTAACAGAAAGAAATGAAGCCAAAATGTTTGAATGATGGGGCATCAGCAGAGGTGAGCTCATCAAGCATAACAGAGACAAGCCCAAAGAATCCAAATCTTGAGTTCACATTGGGGTTGCCTTCATCAGAGCTGTGGTGACTGGCTACTGGAATCTTTTTTATCATAATACCAAAAAGATAGAATCTTTATTATCATAAAACCAAAAAATAGAAAAAAAAATGAAGGGAATAAAAAAAAACAAGAACCCTGATTTAATGTGGATCTGCAGCCTCAGATATGGCTGAGAGTTGTGGAGTATGTAGAAGTAGTACAGTACTACTCATTTTGAAATCATTATAATCTTTGACTGGGGAACTGGTGAAAAGAGAATCAGGTGCCAACCCATTCATCAAATCAGAGCACAGCAAAGATTATCACAAATTTAATGAATAAAAAATAGACAGTGAAAGGAAAGGTGAGCGAAAAGAGAGCTAAAAAAAGACAAGGAGGCAACAAAGCCCGAAAGCAACAAAAGTAGACTAAAAAGGAATGTCTTCCTTTTTCTCTTGCAGTCGGTACTATATATATAAACTAATTGAGTCTTATTCCCATCTCTAAATCAAATGTATTACGGATTTACGGAATAATAATAGTTTAACATTTCTTTTGGTGAAAGTTATAAGAAATCTATTTCCTTTTGTTCCATTCATTGTTCTTGTTGTTTGACTTGTTTCCATTCAAAAGAACAAAGAAAATTAGAGAAATGTTGTTTGTACACACCAACTTGTACACATCACATGAAGATGTTCCGACAGAAAAGTTTGTTGGTGCAAAAAAAGATTATCTTTACAATACTAAAAAATTGTCAGTGCATAAATAATTCGACCGGTGTGCAAAGTGATGTAACGTCGTTAACGATAAATGTGTACATGAAACATGATTGAGAAAATTAAATTACATAGGTCGTCGAACCGGAAGGACCAGGTAGTCAAGTGTCAAAAGGTTTGAGTAGGTTGGGTTGTGGTTCAACAAATTTTAAATGTGTAATGAATCAATTGATCATATATATGTGTGTCTCTCTCTAAGTGATAAATAATTAAATTCATTCTAAAACTAAATTCAGCAGAAACAATCTCACTTTGGATTATTGGAATCACAATATGTCTATTTGGCAGTAAAATTCTATGGATCTAATCAATATAATTTATATCAATTAAAACTAAGATAGGGAACTTGAGCACCATTAAAATTTAAACTCTTCATAAAGTTCTTACAATTCAATGCATGTAGGCATTTAGTCTGAGAAGATTACCAACCCATTTGGAGTGGAGAGGTTTTAGGAGTCCAAAAAGTTAAAAATGGAACATTTGGACTCCTAAATGTGTATAGTGGAGGATTGAGAGAGGTCTTAAAAGTGGGTAAGGGGTTGAGGGTCTTATTAATAGAGGGTGGAATGACTCTCAAATGATGATGTCATTCCTGTGTCATTAAACCTCAAATTTTTTAAAACTCTTATAATTTTTTTATTTGTATTCCAAATTTTTCAAAAAACATATCAAAATTCATGAATTTTCGTGATCTTTCATATGACACCAATATGTAATACTACCTCCGTCCCAGTGGACTTTGTCAAGTGCAAAGTAGGTGAGAAATAAGAATAGTAAAAACCGTGTGGTTGAAATTTGTGCAGAGGAGAGAGAAATGTGCAGAATCACAAATTAGTTGCTTTAATAGGAAAGTGGCAAAGTTTTTTGGGACAACCAAAAGAAAATTTGGCAAAGTCCAATGGGACGAAGGGAGTATATAAAATTAAAAAAAAAATCTCAAGTTTTAACCGTTGAAATTTTACTGAGTCCAAAAAAACACGAATCACAAATTTTTAATTCATGAAGCATTCACAAATAACTGAATGTTTCATAATCAAACTTTACTTGAACTAAGTTCATTTTTGTTAATAGAAAAACGTTAAAAAAAATTAATGAAATTTATTTATTTTTACATCGAAATGTGTATTTTTTTTATTTCATAATTATTTAGGGAAAATATTAAAAGTAAGACATTAATTATAATAATTTAATTTATGTTTTACTAAATTGATATGTAAAAAAATATGTTGAGTGTGTTTTATTGACAGTGCATGGATGCAGGAAAATATAGTATTGACAGAGTCTAAACACTGTTTTCATATGGACAAAGTCCAAATTTAACAATTTAGACTCTTGACCACTACAAATGGTCTTTGGATTCGAGCTAGCCTAAGTGCCTAAACATGATTTAACTCATCCAGGGTAACAGGTTGGGGCAAGAGTTACAGTATGCCAAAATTTAATTTGTGTTACATTGATGATTGATAGTAGGTGTTCAAAGCACATAAATAGAAATAAGACATGCTCACATGCTAATGAACGTCACACAGATCAATGGTATGAAAGAAATGGGTGGTGGGATTGTCAAACATGAAACTAATGGATTTAAAACTTGGTTGATAACACTAAAATTGGTTGAATCTGCTCAAATTGATGAAGTACTGGTCGAAAGCAGCTGAATCTGCTGAATTATGAAAACATTATATTTAAAATATATTTTATTGATAGAGTTAAGATTTTTTTATGAAAATAACCAAAATGATCATCTACCGTGACTTCGGTCAATTCAAGCAGAAAAATAATTCCAATATTACTTTGATTAGTACAAATAAACTCAGCACACGCTATAAAAAGTTACATGCATCTTCATCATCATCATCATTATCCCAGTGCCTCAAAGTTAAATGTTTGATAAAAATGTTGGTTGATAAGACAAATAAGCTAAAATTAGAGGTTATTATTTAAAAATTACACTAAGAAATAGACAATGGAAAAAAACATGAACATATTAAGTCTATTAAGAATGTATAGGTCAACAAAAATGTATACAATATCATCGGTGATAATACTAAAGAAGTTTTTGGTGAAAAGGGAAAAAAGAACAGCAAGTATCAAGTGGATTAAAATCCAAAATGTTCTTTGTAGCCAAAGAATCATATGAATCTCAAACAAGAAGATAAATCACTGGGCATCTTTCCGTCAAAATACCTTATATTTGAAGAAAGGACTGTATGTGGTTTATGTACAAAAGATAAACAAATCACGTCAAATTTAATGTCTAAAACACACAATTATTACTTCAATAAAACGACCAAGTATAATACATATGGATCTATATATTTGGACTAGTGGATCCAATAGGTTAAGTGAATAGAATTATACACTTGTGAAGTTGTGATAGTATAAACAATTATACAGTTGAAGATGTACTTTGGCAATCCTCCATGTCAATGGGCGAAGTTAATAGATAAGGAGTGATTGAATTGAAGAACTTCCAAAATAGATAAGGAGAAAGAGTTATCTGAATTCTGAAGTGAGGATCTCATTGTACAAATGGGCGAAGTTAATACCGAGTATTAATTATAAAATATAATGGAGTGCAATGCAGAAAGTGGAATTTAACATCAATTACAATGAACAAGAATATCTTGATAGAATGTGGGTTGTTAAGAGAAAAAACATAAAAGTTGGAAGTTGTGATGGAAATGTGATCGAAGAAAATAAAATTGGTAAATAGATAATGGATTGTAGCTGCAAGTACAAAGTTGTTGGGATATTAGGGTCCGGCCCAATAATAACCCGGCCCAAAATATCCCTAAAGCCCAAAAGAAACAACGAAGCCCAATGAAAACCAGACGGAGCAGTTATGTCCCAAACGGTTTTTCACCACCCGGATATGAACCGTTCGGTAGTTTCCGAATGGGTAAAATTCCATACTTGACGGAAACACGCATCATTCTTAGTTACACATTACATCAATCTAGGGTGCCGATCGAGTAGGCCTTGCAAGTGGAAGGGGTTCATCCATTGATAGCTTGCCACGCCATCCATCTCACCTACTCATTACTAGTATAAATAGTACGGAGTAGCATTTATTCGAGTTTTTTCCCAAAATGATGCAAATAAAAAAAATATTTACAAAATTGATGTTGAGTTAAAAGTATTTCCCAAAGTAATGTTGGAGTAAACTATAGACCCCACATTACATTCTCTGTCAACTTCGGTAGAAACTTTTCACAGAATACCATACATTAATTGAATTCTCTACCAATCAATCCTCTAACCCCTGAACTGCATATGTTGGTGGACTTCCCCTTGCCCACTCTCCATATATGTCCCTCATTGATTATAGTCCGAATCTTCCTGCAAACACTCCTCCAAATGAAGCTTAGCTTGGATTACATCATATTTAATTTTAGCATTTAAAAAAGATGAATGAAGAAAATGTTTTTATCTTGCTCGGAAAACTTTAGCAACCAGTGCATTAGGTTGGGTAAAGATTCTCTAAGCATTGCAATGTTAAAATCCCTCATCAATCTAAACCCCATTTCGCCGTATTTCTTAGCTAGGTAAGCAATACTACCTCAATCCTTCCACTTGAAACCATTTATCACCCTCTCTTGTTCCACACACATCTTCTTGGGAAACAATAAGACATTCATATCATAGTTAGGTGTAGGTTGAACCATTTTCTTAGCAACATTTCTAGAGCAGCCCAATATACAAATATGTTATTCCAGCTATTAAGGTGCTTGGAAGCCATTCCTTTAATAAATCCCAAGACCTCACATTTGCGCGCTCCTGCCACTTGAGAAAGTAGTCTCAAGTATTCGCTCCCACCTCTGTAGGCCCGATTTCAAACATCACCATCAACCCTTCATGAATCCAAAAAACCACACATTAGTGCTAAAGGAGAGAGTAGTTTTATGACAATTAACCATATATCTCCTGAAGCTTTCCCATTACAGTGGCAGATCTTGCAACCGAAAGTTGGGTGTTAAAAAAAATCTTGATTAAAGTATTGCACAATATTTGTTTGATCCCACAATTGGAGAAATTTAATTTTTTCAACAACAAAAAACTAGCAAAAAGGGTTAAGGGTAAAAAATATTATATAAATAATATATAAATTATTACATCAATTTATATACTTTATTTTCAAAATTTTGGGTATTTGCGTAAACACTCCTGAACAAAGGGCGTTCGCCCCGGTCCCCATAGTCCTTAAGTGCCTCCTTTATCACTAACCCTTCACTACGAAAGGCTCTGGAGAAAAGAAACTTGTCATCGGCGAACAAGAGGTGTGAAATCCCTATTGCTCCTCTCGCCACTCCCACCCCGTGTAATCTGCCCAACCTCTCTTCTCTTCTCAGGAAGACACTTAACCCTTCCACAACGATTATGAATAAATATGGAGAAAGTCTCACTTTGACGGAGGTCCTTTGCAGAATAGTTGACCCCAAATATGTATCATCGAAAGGAATAGAGTAAGACAATGTTTGCACCATCTCCATAACTAAAGCTACTCATTTATCCGTGAATCCCAATTTTAGAAGCACGCTTTAATATCCATAAACAACCACACCATTTGATTATAATCTTTACTCATGTATAGCTTTAGTGCAACAAAACCCTCTCAACCAGCTTGTCTCTTAGCTTGTTTCTTTTAAATGATGAGTTTCAAACGCTGTCATGATATTATCAATAACCGACCGGCTAGGAACTAGTAGTTTTTTAAAGTAATTTATAAAATGTGTAAGGCGTATTTCATGATGATGATGAATTGATGATGATCAAACAAAAAACGGAAAGCCATGAAAA